CGAGGGGAAGCTGCGACGTCCTGTGGATAGTTGAAGCTCTGATACCAAAATGATGTAAGCTCTGAACTCGTGGATATATTCTGGCCCGAACAACGCAATCACCGGCACAAGTATTGGCACTCGAACTCACGTGTTTCGGCTAAGGATGTTGGATGGAGGGGGATGGGGCTACAATCCTTCGTCTTCTTGAATCTATATCCTCACATGGGGAGACAAATAAACAAGAGGAAACGAGTAATTTCTACCGAACCAAACAGGAACCCGACAGCGGTTTTCGCGAGAAGATACGCCAACCATTTAGTCCCAGCTCTCAAGAAGATCAGCATGAGCAAGCCTTCTTCGGGAAACGACCATCTCCGGTCCAAGTTCGAACTGTTGGTATTGGTTCAAGTCAAGCACGTGTGCAAGGAGTGTGGTTTTAAGCTGATCTGTTTTTTTTGCTGTTTTATTTAATGTGTCAGTTATGTATGTGTGTTAGTGTGCAGTTATTTCTTTCTAATGGTTAAAGACAGTTTCTGTTTAATGTATATGTACGTTGTATGAAGTTTAATAGATGTGTGGGAGTTTTATGGAATTGAGTGAGGGTTCCAGATTTTCAGAAAAGTTTGTGTTGAGAGAGTTCTGTCTTTCAGAACTTCAGTGGTATCAGAGCATTTGTTGATCTTAAAAGGGTCTGTGAGTGTGTTGAAGAAGAGGCTTTGTTTTTCAATGGAGCAAGGCGATATTTCTGGGTCTTCGTTTTCAAGCATGTCTCCACCCATGTTTGATGGCGAGAATTATCAGGTCTGGTCTGTCAAGATGAAGGTATTCTTGAAAGGGTCAGATTTGTGGGAAGCTGTTGAGGAGGATTATGAGATTCCTCCATTGACAGGAAATCCGACACTCAATCAGATCAGAAGCCATAAGGAGAAGGTGACGAGGAAGGCCAAGGCGATGTCTTGCATTTTCTCGGCAGTTTCTCCTTCCGTTTTCACGAAGATTATGAATTTGGAGTCAGCAAAGGCCATGTGGGATTTGTTGCAAAAGGAGTTTGAAGGTGATGATAAGATCCGAGGTATGAAAGTGTTGAATTTGATGAGAGATTTTGAAAGACAACAGATGAAACCATCAGAGTCTATCAAGGAATATGTTGATCGTCTTGTTGAGATTGTCAATAAGATTCGAATCCTGGGAACAGATATCACTGATCAGAGAATTGTGCAGAAGATCATGGTCTCTGTTCCTGAAAGATTTGAAGCTACATTGGCTTCTCTGGAGAATACAAAGGAGATGGCGAATCTGAAGCTTGCAGAACTGCTGAGTTCTCTTCAAGCTCAGGAACAAAGACGGATAATGCGAAAGGAAGAATCGACAGAAGGGGCTTTGAAGGCAAAAGCCAAGTTTTCAGGTGCTGATAAGGGGAAGAAATCTGGTTGGAAGCACAAAGTAGAGGGGAGTAGTCAGAATTCTGGTCAAGAATCTGGTGAAAACCGAGGTTATCCTGATCCTTGCAAGCACTGTAACAAGAAAGGACATCCTCATTGGAGGTGTTGGAAGAATTTAAAGTGCAGAAGGTGTGACAAACTTGGTCACATTGAAAAATTCTGTAAGTCAAAAATGGCACAGCAAACAGAGGTGGTGAATGCTGATACAAAGGAGGTAGAGCAGATGTTCGTGGCTTCATGCTTTGTCTCCAAGAGTGAAGATGATAATTGGTTGATCGACAGTGGTTGTACAAACCACATGACAGGTAACCAAAATCTTTTCAAAACTCTGGATAAATCTGTTAAAGCTAGAGTTAGAATAGGTAATGGTGAATTTATTGCTGTCGAAGGCAAAGGTGACGTAGTGTGCAAAGGTCCTAATGGTTGGAGAGTGTTGTCCGATGTGTTGTTTGTGCCTAAGATCGATCAGAATCTCCTAAGTGTGGGACAACTGATTGATAAAGGTTACAAAGTGTTATTTGATAATCAGGAGTGTATCATCAAGGATACTTCTGATCGAGTGCTGTTTAAAGTTGGAATGCGAAACAAGGCTTTCGTTTAATCCAGGAAGGTTTGAGTTGCTCAAAAGGTTGATTGGTGTGTGTGCTCGACCTTAAACCAAGGAGGAGATTGTTGGTATTGGTTCAAGTCAAGCACGTGTGCAAGGAGTGTGGTTTTAAGCTGATCTGTTTTTTGCTGTTTTATTTAATATGTCAGTTATGTATGTGTGTTAGTGTGCAGTTATTTCTTTCTAATGGTTAAAGACAGTTTGTTTAATGTATATGTACGTTGTATGAAGTTTAATAGATGTGTGGGAGTTTTATGGAATTGAGTGAGAGTTCCAGATTTTCAAAAAGTTTGTGTTGAGAGAGTTCTGTCTTTCAGAACTTCAAATCTAATGTGTTTCTTCAGCAACATCATGGACCGAAATCTTCATTAAGTGGCGTGTATGGGCTGCTCCAAGATGGGCTGGGCTCATGTCCTTGGAGTGAAGTTCGTCCAGCATGTCGGAGATGAATAAGGTGATGCGTTCGCGAAGGGCACGCGCCTTGGCTCGAGTGAGGGGTGGATCGGGCCTGTGGTTTGGGCGTGTATGCCTTGGCCTTGGCTCAACTAGAAGTTCCCCATCACTATTGAAGATATGCTCGGCATTAGGCAGCTCCTTGCGTTCCAAGATATCCCGCTCCCGCTCCGTGCACTCCAAGCTATCTTGCTCCCGTTCCGTGCGTTCCAACTCTTTGTCCGTGCGTCCGGTCTCTATGTCCTCATCATCTTGAAAGGGTCAGATTTGTGGGAAGCTGTTGAGGAGGATTATGAGATTCCTCCATTGACAGGAAATCCGACACTCAATCAGATCAGAAGCCATAAGGAGAAGGTGACGAGTAATGTCGAGCATATCTTCAATAGTGATGGGGAACTTCTAGTTGAGCCAAGGCCAAGGCATACACGCCCAAACCACAGGCCCGATCCACCCCTCACTCGAGCCAAGGCGCGTGCCCTTCGCGAACGCATCACCTTATTCATCTCCGACATGCTGGACGAACTTCACTCCAAGGACATGAGCCCAGCCCATCTTGGAGCAGCCCATACACGCCACTTAATGAAGATTTCGGTCCATGATGTTGCTGAAGAAACACATTAGATTATGTCATTTTCCAACAGCTATATTGTGTACTTAAGAGAGCATTAATTACCTAGCTTGCATGCTTATCTAGCTTTGAATGCTAAGAGCTGTTGGAAATGTTTTGAGATTGCTATTTATCCTTGTAAGTTTTCAGAACTCATTACCTAAGAAATCTATTGCCATTTTCGAGCTTAAGCTTGCTGTGTTTGTTGAGTTTGAATCTCCAAACCGTTATCCCCGTTGGTGTGTCCGACGAAGGGCTTCGGTGTGTCCGAGCCAGCTTTCGGTGTGTCCGAAAACCTTTCCTCCTTATCTCCATCTCATCCACTGAATCTTAGCTTGAATTCGAGTGCCTCACAAGGCCGGTGATTGAGCTAACATTCCCATCCCCCTCCATCCAACATCCTTAGCCGAAACACGTGAGTTCGAGTGCCAATACTTGTGCCAGTGATTGCGTTGTTCGGGCCAGCCTATATCCACAAGTTCGAAGCTTACATCATTTTGGTATCAGAGCTTCAACTATCCACAGGACGTCGCAGCTTCCCCTCGGTGATATCTTTCCATCTCTATACGTTTTCATCTCATATTGTTCGGAAAAATCTGTTTCGGTGTGTGCAGAATTCTGTTTGTGTTTGAGTGGGCTATTGACTGCGTTTTGAGACAAATTTGATCTTCATTTGTTCGTAATTCAATCATCTATCCATCTA